GGGCACATGCGTCTAGGCAGTGAATGAGTGAGTGAATTAATGAGTGAGCTCCTAGGCCCCACTGAGATGGGGCACATTCCAGTTCTCTGAGCACGCACCTCCCAGGTGTCCCATGTGCACCGGAACCAGGTGCATGGGAGCCCATGGGGTTGTGCTCTGCTGGAGTGGGCTTCATCCAGAAAGAGGGACACACTGCAGATCGGGGTCGCCACTGGGGAGGACAGGGCGGGGATGCTGGAAACGGGCGGAGGGCCTCCCGGAGAGCATGGAGGGGCACTGCGGGGACTTCAGCAGAGTCAGGGGGCTGTCCCTACCCCAAATCCAGACAATGGGAGCTTGTCCGTGGGCATGACCTCGTGACCCTGCCCACTCCTGCCAGCTCCCACACGGGCAGCGAGCCCCTCCACAGGTGTGGAAACTGCAGCCCAGGGTAGGCCTCTGCCCGCACTGCTGCCCCACCCAAGGACTGACGGGAGAGATTCAGAGAAAGCCGGTGCTGGGGCAGGGGCTGGGCCAGGGGGCTCCCGCCTCTGAGAGCAGCACTCCACCCTTCCCCCACGCCTGGGCCCCCACCCAGTTGGGGAGCAATGCACACCCTCCTTCCCTTGCTCGCTCAGGGGTGTGGATCCTGAGGCCCTTCCCAGGCCACCAAAGAGGCCTTCTGTGTTGGGCCTGTCCCTCCTCCTGCTCCCCTCCTCTGCCCCCATCAGGGACCAGCCGGCGTGGGAGAAACTGGGCCGGGAACCGGCCACTGACAGCGCCTGCAGGACCCTGCCAAGTCTTCCTTCCGCTCCCCGCACCCCCTGCCCTCACTGCCCTCTCCAAGGAGACCAGGAAAGGGGTGGGAGGGGGAGAGGCTCTTAAAGCGACCGGGATGCTCGCTTGGGCAGGGACCCCAAGGAGGGCCAGGTCTGGGTCCCAAGTGTCTTCCAGAACAGCGGCCCCTGGCCTGGGCCTTCTGTGTGAGGCAGGCCTGGGGGCCGCACAGACCAGGCTGGAAAAGTCCATGGGGTGACCCCGGGCTTGCCAGAGAGCACTCTGGGTCTCAGTCTCCTCAGCTGTGAAATTGGTTAACAGAGAACAAGCACGCTGAGAAAGCCCGTGCGAGTGAGATGAGGACCCCAACAGTGCCTGGCCCCAGGTCGGGCTTCTGGAAAGGAGCTAGGCGCATGTCCTTTTCACACACCCCCTCTTCACTCCCAGCCTGTCCCAGGCTCTGCTCTGCTGGCTCAGGACCAGGAGAGGCCCACATCAGGCAGAATAAGGGTGCTGAGAGCTCACCAGCCAGGGAAACTGCCAACTCGGTTGAACAGGAACATCCTGCTTGCGGGACTTCTCAGGGCCTTTATAGTGGACGCGTGTGTGGACCTGGAAGCACGTAAAAGGCTGCCCTTCCCAGAGCCCTCATGGGGCTGGCATCTGGCAGAACACCTCCGCAAACACCCATGTGGCAGGACGGACGAGGGCTTCAGGTCTGTGCCCTAAGCTGTACTCACGTCCCCACTCTGCGCCTCAGCTGAACCACTTTTCAAGTGAGGACACACCTGAGGAACTTTCCAGCTCTGATTTTTATACCCTATGTAACTCTGGGTTATTTATTTTCTTTAAAAGAGTTTTAAAAAACTGCAAACCCAGGGTGGGGGCGGGGGCGGGGATGGGGAGGCTATGGGAGGGGCCAAGACCTACCTAACAGGTACAATCAACACTCTTCAGGTGACAGGCACACGTAGCCCTAATTCGAGCATTACAAAAGGTGTCCGTGTAACAAAGACATTGTACTCCCTAACTATTGTAAAATAAAAAAATAAAATACATAATGCAAAAATAAAATAATAGCAATAAAACAACTGGAAATAAGGGACAACGAGTAAAATAAAAAAATAAAATGATAGTAAGTTA